ATAGCAGACTGGGGGTGGTGGCTCACACCTGTAATTTCAGCACTTTGGGAGGCTAAGACAGGCAGATCACCTGAGGTCAGGAGTTTGAGACCAGCCTGACCAACATGGGAAACCCCATCTCTACTAAAAATACAAAATAAGCCGGGTGTGGTGGTGCATGCCTGTAATCCCAGCTACTCAGGAGGCTGAGGCAGGACAATCGCTTGAACCCAGGAGGTGGAGGTTGCGGTGAGCTGAGATTGCGCCCCTGCACTCCAGCCTGGGCAACAAGAGTGAAACTCGGTCTCAAAAAAACAAAACAAAACAAAACAAAATACATATGATTTATGGGTCTGGAGCTTTGGCAGTCAGTAATATCTAAAACTTTCCCTGACACAGAACATCTAGAATTGCTGACCAGGAAATGCTGCTTTAATCCTATTCAATACACAGCAGAGCTCAAAGAAAGTAAAGAGAAATCCCAGGCTCCAGTAGCAAAGAGGAAAATGAAACAACCCCAATGTCCACCTATAATATAAATGCTGTTGCGTTTGTTCAATGGAATAATAATAGTAATGAGAATGAACAAACTGTGGCTACATGAAACAACATGAATGAGTCTTACAAACATAATTATAAGCAAAAGAAGCCAGACACAAAAGAGTATATGCCATATAATTGCATTTATATGCAGTTCAAAAATAAGCAAAGTTCATCTATGGTGTTAGATGTCTGAATAATGATTCTTGTTGGAAGAAGGGAGTGATTGGAAGAATCCTAACAGGTTTCTAGTAATGTTCTTTTTCTTTAGCTGAGTTCTTGTCGCATAGGAATGTTCCCCCATGAAAAGATGTTGAGCTCTATACTTATGATTGGTGTACCTTTCTGTATATACATTATATGTCATTAAAATGTATGTATGAAAAAAGGGGAAGAGATAACCAAAAACCAAAGATGTAAACCTGGCAGCTAAAACTTGGGCAACAGGGTCGGGCACAGTGGCTCATGCCTGTAATCTCAGCACTTTGGGAGGCCGAGGCGGGTGGATCGCCTGAGATCAGGAGTTCGAGACCAACCTGACCAATATGGCGAAACCTCGTCTCTACTAAAAATACAAAAATTAGCCAGGTGTGGTAGCATGCACCTGTAGTTCTAGCTACTTGGGAGGCTGAGGCAGGAGAATTGCTTGAACCCAGGAGGCGAAAGCTGCAGTGAGGCAAGATCGTGCCACTCCATCTTAAAAAAAAAAAAAAAAAAAAACACTTGGGTAACAGCATTGTGGGTTTTATTAAACATGGAGTTTTAGTTTAATGTCCATCAAGAGGAGAACTTGAGGCCTTGGAGACATACAAGAAAAGAAGATTTAACTAAGACATACACGGAATGCTGGAACCATCAAAAAGCTACACCCACACCAAAAGGCTGAACTAGAGGGAAAAATCTCCATACCAACAAACAGGTAGAAAACAATGAAGCTTGTTTGCCTTAAACAAGGTAGAAAACAATGAAGCTTGTTTGCCTTAAACAGAATTCAGAGTTTTGTTTCTTTTTTAAAAAATGTCTCTTTAGAAAATTATAACCCAGACCTAAGCCTGATGAAGTTAGACGGTTCACATACATACTTCGTACTACCTACATGGTCCAGAATTTTCCAAGATGGCATCTTATTTTGAAGGTTGACCTGAAATGGAAACTCTGGGTGACAGAAATGTTCAATATCTTTTTTTTTTTTTTTTTTTT